AGGGAGATAAGGCTAAAAGGCAAGTGAAGTCCTGACCATCAGGTCTCGACCTGGGTTTGGATTTTATCTCACAAGTCTGTTTTCTGCAGACTTGTTGTCTATACTATGGGCAGCATCCAAACTCCTTTCCATATGACTAGTTAGAATAGGAAATTAGTCTAAAAGAAATTTGGAAGTGTAATCTAAAATTAACCTCTGAAATGGCTTGAGAATCAGAATATATTCCTGTTTCAGTCTTATTTTTCTTCCCTCCATTTCCCTACTCCACTTTCAGCCAGAGTAATTTTAAAAATGGCAGTTCTCTTGTGGAATTTTAAAATGGCATCACTCACCCATTCACAGCAATTCAACAGCTTCACAGAGACCTTCAGAAAAGTCCTCCCACCCCAATGCCTGGACTTTAGGTGCTGGCCCTGGCCCGACTCTGCAGACTTGTTGTCTACACTATGGGCAGCATCCAAACTCCTTTCCATATGACTGAAACCTCCTTCACTCCTACCTGTCCCTTTGCCCTCTTTTGTCAGGCAAACTCATAACTCATCTTGAGGTTTTCACTTAGATGTCACTTCCCCAAACAAGGCTCACAAAACTCCTCAAATCCAGATTAAGTTTCCTGCCACTCTTATTTCTCTTGACAGTTCTTAGGAACATATCCTTGGCTGTGACACATCCTCAGGGGATATGTCTGCAGCGCCTACCAAAGGGCCAGGAACAAAAGAGATGCCCAAAAATATCTGTTCCGATGAAAAAGGCAGAAAGCAGAAAGGAGTGTATAGAAGTCAGACAGACATAAAATAGGCATAAACTTGAGGATGATGAGGGGCACAGTAAAGAAAGAAAGGAAATGTTAACAAAACTGAATTCTGACTGAGTTAACACAATTCTCTCTATAAAATAATTAGAAGGTCCATCTAGATGAGCAATTACCAAGTCCTGGTTGATCATTAGAATCATCCAGGGAATCAGGAGTGTTCTTTCTTTTTGATGTGCTTTAATTTCCACTGGTCATTGGGGCATAACAACCAATTGATGTTTAGGAGTTACTTTCCCAAATATCCTGTGAGACCATTCCTAGCACCAGTGTCCTGATTTGACCAAGATACGTATGAACAAGAAATTGACAGATTCTGATAAATCACTTATTGTAAGAGCAGAAGGAACATATTAAACTACTTAGATTTCTAGACTAGTTAGCCTGAAGTCACAACTTGCAAGTGTCAGGCTTGCAAATGCTTTCTAAAGAATGAAATACAGAATCAGGAAGAGGAAGCACATTCTATGAAAAAAAGACAGATTTGACTTTGAATATGAGTTTCCTGACACTCAAATATTTAATTCTTTGTCCTCTGGAGCTGTCTCAACAGAACTCTCCTCCTTCCTACCCTTGGCATTGCTGCATGGCCTATCATAGCAACTATCCCTTCTTTGAGGATTGGCACCCAATCTCTCTTAAAAATTATCCTCCCTATCATGTCCAATCTTGCTGAGATTGCAATTCAGGTCTATCCTAAATTAAAACAAAAGGAGATTCTTTGATTTTAAAAAGTTTAGTCCAGTGTCCTAAGAGCAGAGAAATCAGTGTTTTTCATCCATTCTTACAGAAGTATTAGGTTCATTTCTGCTCCCTACATCCCAGGCTGTCCCAGCTTCCGTCTTTGTTCTCAAGGCTTCTCATCAATTCTATGAACTACCGGTATACTTCTAATAAATCCTTGTTTTGTTGAACAAGTCATTTTGGAATCTGGTACTTGCAAATATATAAATGAACAAAATCTAATAATATAGCAGCTTTGTCTCATTGCATAAGAGTTCCTTCCTCTGCTCACAGCAGACTCTTCTACTCTAGTTTCTGCACTGGGATGGCACACATGGCCAATGCAGTTCTTAAATCAGTGCTGTCAAAAAAAAAAAAAAGAAAGAAAGAAAAGGAAAACAGAAGAAACGCAAGCCACGCATATAATTTAAAATTTTCTAACAGCCATTTTAAAAAGTGAACAGAAACAGATGAAATTAATTTTAACACTGTTTTATTTAAACCAAAATATCCAAACTATTATTTCAATATGTAATCACTATGAAAATACACTGAGAAATTTTACTTTTTTTAGCCTAAGTTTTTGAAATGTGGTAATGTTATTTACACTCAGTATACATCTCAAGTCAGATGCTAAATTTTCAAAGGTTAAAGTGAAATGTAGTCCTTCCAAAACAATAAAGCTATGAATACAGAAAACTATTTTATATTTTAAACTTAAATTAGCTAAAAATATTCAGTTCCTCAGCTGACTAGCCACATTTCAAGTGCTATGTGGCTATATGTGACCAGGTCTATTCTATTGTGTAGCTACATGGAACCCTCTCTTGACTGGAATTGGAGGCTCTCACACTTCCAACAAATTCCACTATGAAATGACTTAGAACTGTGAGGAGACCTATCCAAAATATTTCTTACTCCAAAACAATGTTTCCTTTGCTGTGTAACTACAACAGGCTAACACATTATTGAGTGTGACAACTATCCTCTGTGTTCTATAGTTCAGTAGCATGGGGAGATCAAGGAGTTATCTTCCCTGTCAGGGAGTTTAATTCAAAGTTAAAATTACACTATTACTCTTAAATCACTTTTCGTTTACTACATTTTAAAAGGTAGAAAGAGACTTTGGGGATTCACTTTCAGTATTTTCATAGTGAAATAAAAATATAGAATTCTGAGTGGCAAGTTGAAGAATTTGACCTTTATCTAACTGACAACAGCAGATGTTGTAAATTTTGGAGTCAAGGAGTGACATGATAACATCAGTGTCTCAGGAAAACAAATCAAAATCCAGTATTCAAATAGACTGACAACAGCAAAAGTGCGCAGGGAAGGCGTGGTGCATCCTTAGCTGGCTGTACATGTGCTCTTGTATATGCCAGGAATGCTGTTTTCCTCTTCTTAAGCCAGCAAAACACGTGCTCATCCTTCAAAATCTGGCTCACAGTCACCTCCTGGTTTCCTGGATACAGATGACAAACTGAGCTCCTTCTTCCACCTGTGCTCCCACAGCACTTCCTTCAAAATCCTATCAGGAGCCAAATTAAGATGGCAAAACAGTGGTTGAAAGAGGTTGAAGGGTTACTCTATAATAGGTACAGAGTTTCAGTTTTACAAGATGTAGAGTTCAGTGAATGGATGGTATCATCACAGCACATGAATGGGAACAACTAGATTATTCCAGCCAGCTAACTCCTCTTCTTTCCAATCTCAGCTTAAAGTTCACACCATTTAGGAGACTTCTTTTCCAGGCCAAAATGGTTTAGGTACCTTTGTCATACCATCTCATGAACTTCATGCTTTTCTCCTAACTGTAATCTATAGCTAATTACGTGGTGTATTAGTTTACTAGGATCACCATAACAAAATTCTACAGACTGGGTGCCTTTTATCGATTTTCTCACAGTTAAGACCAAGGTGTTGATAGGTCTGGCTTCTCCTAATCTCTCTCTCCTTGGCTTGAAGAAGGCCTTTCCTTTATTCACACATTCCTCTGCATCTGGGTGTTTAAATTTTCTCTTCTTATAAGGACACTGGGGCCGGGGATGTAGCTCATTGCTCATTGGCACTTGCCTAGCATGCATAAGGCCCTGGGTTTGAACCTATCAAAGATACCAGTCAATTGGGTTAGGATCCACCATTCGCACCTCATTTAAACTTAATCACTTTTTTAAAGGCCGTTATCTCCAAATACAGTCACATTCTGAGGTACTGGGGGCTAGGACTTCACTGTATGAATTTGGGGAGGCCACTCTTCAGCCTACATGATGTTAACCTCTATGGTACTCAACTGGCAAACTCCATGAAAAGAGGGGCTTTATCTAATTCTCATTTCACAGCCTTTACAGTCACCACACCCTCTAGTATACCTAGAGTACACTACCTTCAAGTCTTCATAAAGCAGCAACATCAGCACTAATATCTGACAAGGGCCATTCTGGACCATGTTATCTAAAGTAACCCTATAAGTCTCTCCTGGGTCATTATTTTCTTTCCACCATGGCACTCACCACTTACTGTCAGCTTCTACAAAGGGCGGTCATGCCTTTTGACACACTGCTGTGTACTCCAGGGTCTCACTCATATTTATGCATAAATGAGTTTCTGTAACCACTTAGCACATTTTAATGCCTTTATTTACACCCCTGAGAAAATCTGCAGGGCTTTTAAAATCCCCAATGCTTTCTGGATCTCAGCTTTAACACTCATCCGGCAGGTTCCTTACCCTGTCGGGTCCTAACCCAGGACAGCAGTACCTTCCTCAGAGTTGGACAAGGTACGGAAGGCACCCAGCTCAAAAGAGTGGTGTAACGAGGCTGCTATCGGCTGAAATGCCGGTGTCCTCCCAAGCGTGGGACCCGCGGCTGCTGAGGAAGCCCTGGGGGGGGACACAGGGCACTCAGTGGGCGCTAAGGTGACCCTCCTCTCCTTGCTCTTCCTACCCCTTGGGGTGGAGCAACCCCGGGCTCTCAGCTCCGGGCGCCTGTCCCTGCCTACGGCGTTTGGGGGAGGGATGATTTGGGCACAGCTTTGGAACCCAGGGCTGAAGGGCGTTCTGCAGCCAGCTGCCTAGGCTCACGCCGCCCTGCTCCCAGTGGCCGGCGGTGCAGTGACAACCGCCTCATGGGGCCATCGGGGACTCAAACGGAGCTACTGCACCGGGACGGCGGGGATTCGGGGGACTCGCCACAGCGGCCTCGCCAGCGGCTGGGTGGGGAGGCGCGGAGGGAGGAGTCCCCCGGGGCCCGGCCGAGGTGGCCCTCCTCTTGGTGGGCGGCCCGCGCCGGCAAGCTGCAGTCTTCCCCACGCTCTTACCCGGCCTCTCAGCGAGCCGAACGCGCGCTGAGGAGGCGCGCGAACAGAAGGGACGCGCCCGGGCGCGAGACGCACAGGAGAGGCCGCGGGCTGGGCAGGGCGACGCGCGCTGCGTGTGACGTCACCAGACACGCCGCGGCACGCACGCGCAGAGGGCTGGTGGGCGAGGCTGGCGGCTGGAGCCAGCATGGCGGCCGAGCGCAAGACCAAGTTGTCCAAGAACCTGCTGCGCATGAAGGTGCGCGGGTGCTGGAAGGGTCTGGGGGGGGCGACAGGGCCCCGACCTCTCGACCAGGCCCAGGACGAGGCGGCGGGCGTGCAGGGGACAGCAGGCGGGCCTCCGGCGGGCGGAGCTCATTCGTTCCCCGCGACCCGGCCAGTGCGGGCGCTTGCTAACGCGTGTGCGGGCTGCCAGGCTCCGGGCGGAGGGAGCGGGAGGGTCCCCGGCTCCGGGAAGGCGAGTTCAAGGGAGAGAAGGGAAACAAGAAGGTTTCCAAGAACCAAAGTGACCACTGTGTCTGGAAGGCAGGCCGTGGTCACGGCGTGCAGGGAGCTTCAGGCGGGATGGAGGGTTGGTTTGGGGTTTTGTTTCCCTTTAATTTATGAGCAGTAGAAGCTGTTGAGCACAGGGAGCAGTCTCTTGAGCTGTGTTGCTCTTCAGGATCACTTTAACTGCCCTGTGGAGAATATGTTGGTGGAAGAAAGGCCCCGACAAGGCACAAAATTGTGGCAGTGGAGTGGAAGTGAATTGTGACCCAACTTAAAACAAAATTGATTTTTTTTAAGATTTGAAATTCATTCATTTTAACCCTATACTTTCAAAGTGGAACAACAATCCAGATAAAGCATGGTAGGTAAAATAAACACAGGAATGAAGACAAAATTAAAACTTAGATAATACAGATAGCAAATATTGATAATCTTTACCATATGCCAGGCCCTGTTCTAAGTGCTTTCCATATAATATTATCATGTGATTCACATAGTTACCCTTTGAGGAGGCTATGGCCTCTTTACAGCTGAGGCAAATGAGAGGAAGTGATATGCCTGAAGTTACACGGCTAGTAAGGACTGGAACTCAGTTTTATCTGAGAGTTCTGCCTGGCACTTGCTAGTGATAGTCCTTGACTTACAGTGAGATTATGCCCTGATATACTCATCATAAATCAACAGAGGATAAAAGTGCATGACACATCTAACCCATTGAACACCATAACTTAACCACGTAGTACACTGTAGAGTTCCAGTTGTTTACCTTCCACTTGGTGTGGCTAAATGGGAACTGTAGCTCACTGCTGCTCTTTAGTATCACCAGAGAGCATCATACTGCATATGGATAGCCCAAGAAAATATCAAAATTTGAAGTACTATTTCTACTCAGTGTGTGTCACTTTGCCTCCATCATAAAGTCAAAAATTCGTTAAGTTGAACAGTTTTAAGATGGGGAACATCTGTACTTATACAGATTGTTAGATATCATATTTAGAGAGTGATGGAATTTCCAAGAAAAGAAAGTAAAGTGTAATTAAAGATTAAAGAGAAAATGTTACATGGGCAAGATTTGAATGGAGTTAAGTTTGGATGTAATTAGGGATTAGTAGGGTGAGGAAGGGAGGGGACAAATTGTAGCATGACTTATATGGTTTGTAAAGTACTTTTGTGCATATCAGCAAAATTTGAGTCTTAACAGAATTTTCTTGGTTTAATGGTTTATGATCTCATTGGTTTTGAGAAGTGGAATAGACTGACCAAGCAAGCACTGAAAAGATTTTAGCAGTAGCATTTGCTCTTGGAATAAGCCAAATAAAGATGTGCTTGGTGATTAGGGATTGGACCGAAGATCTGACTCTGGAGTTAACAAGGAAGAAATTGTCTTAAAACAATCTGCCACCACCCAAGTGAATGGGAAAGTTTGAATTGGATGTTGGAAGCAAAGGAGAGATGAGAATATTAATCAGGTTCTCCATTTGAGTTAGCAGCTTCCATCATTAACAAGAAAGAACTTAGCCAGCAGGATCCCAGGTGACACTGCCTACAGAAAAAGCAGAGTATATGCTGTGAGAAGTCATGGGGCATTATAGCCAGTGTCGCTGTTCACTCGGAGCTGAGTGTAGGCAAATATGATATCACTGAGCATTTAGTCCAACTCACTTGTTTTCTGGGCTCTTAATGTCCACTGACTTTAGCTGTTGGACAGAGGGTGATCCTGGTAGGAAGTACAAAGAAAACGATGTGGATAGAAGGTTTGCCAGTATGATGGATTGCTTATAGAAAAAGGTGCTTGTTTTTGTTTTTAATTCCTTTGGACTCTTAGGATGGGCTTTGGTGAACTTATTCTTTAAAGGTTCAGATAGTAAATATTTTAGGCTCATGGTCCAGGTAGTCTTTTGGGTACCTACTCAACTCTGCCATTGCCACTTAGAACTAAATGAGCATTACTTTGTTCCAATAAAACTTTATTTATACTAGCAGACATCCAAAAACTTTATTTATGATAGCAAATATCCAGCCCGAAGACTGTACTTTTCCAAAGCCTACTGTGGGTTCTCAGTTGTGAAGGAGGCTAAATCGCTAACTTTAGAATGTATTCTGAGATGCTGTAGATTCAGGAGACTAAACTGATGCCTAAAAGTGGAGGTACTAGATTCACAGCCACGGGGTGTTCCATTTTGCCATGTGTACCAAACATAGGTATAAATGAGTATTTGTGTACCAAGAACGTGAGTGTTGAGATGAAGCAACACTCAACATGCATTAGGAATGAGTCTGTAAATGTAAGACTGGTCTGGGTTCATTACATTAGAAGGCCTGTTTGTTTGTAAAGACACACAAGAGTGTTGACACTGATTTTGTTTTGACAGTTCATGCAAAGGGGACTGGACTCGGAAACCAAGAAACAACTAGAGGAAGAAGAAAAGAAGATCATCAGTGAGGAGCACTGGTACTTGGATTTGCCAGAGCTTAAAGAAAAAGAGTAGGTTTATTAGAATTTATATTGATGATGTTTGGGACAGTCAGAAGAAAATCCCTGTAGATTTGACAGGAATTATTTTACGTCCAGTGACGTAAACTATAAAGTTATTTTATGTTCAGTTTCGTGGGTTAGCCTTGCAAATAATTTCCTAAAAACTTAAACCTATAAAAGTTCTACCTGGATTTATATATTTTTACTGGCTTCCTGGCTATCATTTATAAAACACTGTCTTTTTTTTTTTTTTTTTTTTGTTGAATAAAGGAATCTAGTGCATACATCTCTGATAATAACAGGGGACTTTTTATTGGAAGTTATAGTATGCTCTGTATCACAGTAAGTTCCAAAATTAGGTGTGTACTTCAGGCCATCCAGTTTTATTTCAATAACAGAGTTAATTTATTAGACTTAGGCTCTTTCAGGTCAGGAGCTTTGTCTTTCTTTTTTTTAATTGTTACTACTTTAAAGACCATTCATCTAGCACACATTCACTGAATCTAGAGTGTGTTCCAGGTACTTGGCTCAGCACCTTACATCATAGCAAACATAAGAGCTGCCCATTTCCATTCTGTCCGTCTTGCAGCTTAACAGTAGTTTGCCCAGAGCCACTCAATAGTCCAGTGCTGGAACTGCAAAAGCACACAAAGATAGTGACCCTCAACTTCCAAGCTGAATGGTGCCTAAGAAGTGATTTTGATTGAAGGAGTGATGGATTCATCTCATTTACTGATCTAGATCCTTCTGGAAGCCCCTTATCATTGTTCCCTAATAATTCTCTTGCCTTGGCAAGCTCTGCATGTGTGATTTTACTTAACCCAACTGAAGATGCTGTGTACATTTTCAAATACATATGTGCTCCTTTCTTCCCCTGATAGTTCTTTTGATTTACCATGTTATATTCCTTCTTCATTTTCTGATCTTTTCTGGGCCTTTTTGGGAGTTTAGATGCCTTTCTGTAAAGACAGAACATCTGCCCCACCAGGAGAAAGAGACATTTTTTTCTCCATTTGCCTCTCAGAGGGAGCAAGGTATTGGTGAGAAGGGAACAAGTGCTGCAGGAGATAGTGTTGATGGGGGAGAGGATCAGTCCTCATGAGGATCCATAATCTGGATTTGTGCTTTGCCTTATGAACTTACTCAGGTCTTCCAGATGTTTACTGAAGGGTGGGACAGGGCTTTTTTTTGTTTTGGGGTTTTTTTGGCGGGGGATGGGGGACACTTAATCAGAGGTTGAACTCAGGCAATTGACCACTGAGCCACATCCCCAGCCTTATTTTTGTATTTTATTTAGAGACAGGGTCTCACTGAGTTGCTGAGCACCTCACTTTTGCTGAGGCTGGCTTTGAACTCGTGATCCTCATGCCTCAGCCTCCCGAGCTGCTGGGATTGTAGGCGTGCACCACTGTACTCAGATAGGGTGAGACAGTTTTGATCTTGTTTTCAATATTCTTTTTTTGTTTTCCCCCTCTACACAGAAAATGACATTTAGATTACTTTCCTTAGAAGGTAATGAATAACTTTTTGCCCTCACTCAGGAAAAGATGGCACTGTCTAGTTGTACACTGGCAGATTGGGTGATTCAAGGAGCATAAACTGGTACTCTTCCAGTTTCCATTCATAATTCAGGTTCCCTAATTGCTTCTTCGTGTACTCATTTTTTCATGTAAATTCTTGAGGATATTTATAATCACTGTTCTAAGGTTCTTTTCTACTAATTCCATCATCTTTCTTTTGATTTTTGTTTGTTTTTTTTTGTGTGTGTGTGTGAGGGTTGCATTTTCCTGCTTCCTTACATGTCTACTCATTTTCCATGTGTGCGTTGCATTATGTGTGTTAACTTCACTAACTACATAGATTTTGTTGTCTCCCTTGATAGAGTGTTGAATTTTGTTCCATTAGGCAGTTAATTTACACTGATCAGCTTATTGTTTTTGTTAGAGTCGGTCGGATAGATTCTGCTTTAAGGTTTAATTAGCCCTACTCCTAAGGTAGGGCCTTTCTGCTCAATATCACAGGGAGTAGGCTTGACCTCTGCTCTCTGGCTAGACAGAAGTCAAACATGACACGTTTCTGTGCAAGCCCTAATATCTATTCAACATATAGTTGCAGGATGAGTTTTCTTTTCCAGATATGGTAGGGTAGAAGACATCAATGTTCTTGTCTCTGGAACCTGTGTTACCTTAGGTGGCAAAATTGACTTTGCAGCTATGGTTAACTTAAGGATCGTTAAATGAGAGATTGCCTGGGTTATCTGAGTGGAAACTAAATACAATTATGTTTTCTTATGTATTAATTCATTTAATTACAATAATCAAGTGCCTGAGGTTGGGTAACTTGAAAAATATAGAGATTTGTTTAGCTTATAGTTCTGCAGATTCAAGGACATGACTGGGCTGTGGGGGGAGTGCCTCATACTGAGTGGTGTATGGGGAATGAAGGGCTACCATCTTGAGATACGAAGCCAGAGAGTCAGGTGCAGGCTCAGATTTTTATAACAGTTTGTCATCATGAGAATTACTCTAGGAGCCAGCTTTCCCTTCCAAGGGCAACCCCTCCAATGACTTAAGGACCTCCCTCCAGGCTGCACATCTTAAAGGCTTCAGGCGTCCTCACATGTCCTCACTGGGGACTGAACTTCTAATACTTGAATCCCTGGGGGGATAAATCATTACATCTTGTAAGAGGAAGGCCAAGGGCGATCTGAAACACACAGCAGGCATTGTGACCATGTATGAAAAGTTGGAGTCATGTAGTACCAATCCAAGAAGTGCTGCCTGCTACCAGAAGCCGAAGAGGCAATGGGCAAATTCTCCACTAAAGTCACTGTCCTGTTGGCACCTTGATTAGGCACTTGTGACCTCCAGAATGGTAAAAGCCTAAATTTCTAATGATTGAAGCCACCAATTTTCTGGTAATTTGCTACAGCAGCCACAGAAAACTGAGTCATCAGATAACTATTCTCCCAGAAGGCATCTGTGAGAGCTCTTCTCCTGATGTTGTGGCTTCACCTGGCACAGCTTAGTGTTCAGCTAGAGATTGAAGGGACCCCACAGCAGGTCCTGGATTTCCTGTGTGTCTCTGGCCCATGTAGCCTAGCCACCTCTGTCATTCCAAACTTCAGCTTGTCTTCACATCAGCAGGGCTGTGCTGTTTGTCTCTAACGTCCTCCTCCACAATCTGGATATTGCGTCAGGGCAGAAAGCCCTACATGGCGGGGCTCACTCCATTGGGTTTTCTTCTTGGTCAGCCAGTGCTCTGACGTAGTCAGAAAATATTTGTTCCACATTTTGCCCTGTTTTTTAATTGGCTCTGGGTGGCCAGGAATGGAAAACCTGCTAATTTTCTTCTGCTGTGTGATGGCAATGTTTTCTTTATTGTCTGGGGCCGTGAGAACAGAGGCTTTTTCATTCCTGGCTGTTCCCAGCCTCTGGAAGAGAGTCTGCCTTGTCCGATCTCTGGATGTTTGCTGAGTGAGTCTGCTGAAGAGTAGAAGCCACACACGGAGATGTTTGCTTTCCTGGCCTGTTGAGGGTCATAGCCAGCTGAGAAGCTTACCTTGAGTTCAGGGTCATGAACTGGCGGTTCTGAGGAGAAATGGTTTTGGAGACACTGCAGTCAGTCCTGTTTCAGGGGAACTGCGGCTGCCACGCTGCCTCTGGTGCCAGTGTTGGCTCCTAGCCCAGCATTGTTCTTCCTGGGCTAATTGTGGAGAATGATTTTGGTTTCAGTTCCACACCTCATCACCCTTATTTCTGCCAGTTTCTACTTTTGCTCATCCAGCTTTCCCAAGGTCTTATGGGAACTCCAGGGCCAGTCTTCCAAGTAGTTAGCTAAACACTTCAGCCAGTACACTCTGTGAAAGCTGCCCAGGCTCCTCCTGCATATTTATTTGTTTGATTTATGTATTTTTTTTTTCCTGGATGTTTAGTAAGAATTGGGGGGTGAAGATAGACATCAAAGAAATTTTGCTACAACTTTGGAAAAGTCAAGTTTACTAATGCTTTTGGTCTGTACATCATGCAGGTACTTGTGCATAGTGTTCAGAAGAGTTGTGCCTCCCTCCAGCCTGTAGCTCTCATCTCCCAGGGCCTTCCTTTGCTGACTGAATTAATCAGATTTTATTTCCAGCCCTGGGTTAGAAATCTTACACTGTGTTTTTACTTGATCCTACTGAGAACCATCAGATTGATTTTTCCTTCAGTCTTGATTTTTACTTGCTTTGCTTTGTTATGAGTAGTCTTGCCATTGATACAGGTTTATTTTCCCATTTAGGAGTGTCATAATAGAGGAGCAGAGCTTCTTGTTATGTGAAGATCTTCTGTATGGAAGAATGTCATTCAGAGGATTTAATCCTGAAGTTGAGGTATTAAATATAATTGCTTCAAATTTAAATTTTTTCCAATTGAATTTTTTCTGCCAATTGTTGAGCTTAGGTTTCTCCCTACCAGGTATCATTTCTCCTTATTATATAGAAAATAACAAGTCTTGAAATACTGCTGTAGCTATTTAAAGAAATTGCAGGCGTTGCAGTCTAGTTTTATGGAAGAATTGAGTAGATAATTTAATACAGCAGCACACGGTCCCTGATGGTGCCACTGTGCTAGAATTTCAACTGGAGTCTTTTACTGGAGTGTCAAGATTTTATTCAAATGATGCTATTATGAAAAGTTATTTTCTGGCATCTGTAAATGTATCTTTTCTAATGGATAATATTACTTTAAAATTGTATAATTTGACTTTTTAATGGGCAGATTTTAATCAAAGCTTGTAAATAGACTTTTAAGTGAATACTTTGGAAAGTTTGTTCAAAAGATGAATATTCACCTTGTAGCTGAGCTGTTTGTTTGAATTTCCTGCCTCAGGTTTGCAGAGAAGCAGACCTTTATTTAACACCTTTATAGGACTTTGGCACTTATGTTGGTCCCACCTCATACTTGATCATCCGGATGCACATTGCCAATATAAATTTTCAGTTCTGTAAATATCACTTGAAGCCAAGGCTTCTTGCCCTTGGCTTTATTGATCTTTGGGGCCAGATCATTCTCTGGTGATGGCTGTCCTGAGCATTATAGGGTGATCAGCAGCATCTTGGAACAGTTTTCTACCCACTGAATGCCACTAGTGCACACAACTGCCCCCTTCAGCCCAGTCATGACAACCAGAAGTGTCTGCAGACATTGCCATACATTTTGTCCTAGTGGGCAGAATTGTCCTCAGGTGAGGACTGCTTCTCTAGGACACCTTTAGAGAGCCACAGCTGACTGAGCCTGCTGCAGGGTTATATTAAGGGTAGCAGGTTGGGGAGGGAGTATGGGATGATTAAGGTGTTACGTTTACTTTACACAAAGCCAACACTAACTGTTTGGTTTTAATATATACTTTCTTTGCTTTGGCCTGATTTGAGCTTTAGATGGAAAGAAAAGGGGGACTATGAAGCAGAAAGAAAAAAAACAAAGGGAAACTGAGTGTAGGATGTCTAAAGAGCGGGGTTTGGGTGGCACACACCCCCAAGGTATGCCTGATGCAGGGGAATGTGAGGGTGCCTGAAAACAGGGCTGGTTGCTGGTTCTGTGATCCTAGACACCCTCTCTTGGGAAAGGCTGTCACCTATTTTCTTATTGGTCCTTTGAGTGTTAGAGAAACCAGTTGAGCTTGTTGTCTCATCTGCCAGCCTTTCTCATCCTCTGGCCATTCCCCCACCAACTGTAACTGTGGTAGTGTACTTTATTCTCAGGTGTGTGTGTGTGTGTGTGTGTGTGTGTGTGTGTGTGTGTGTGTTGCTAGAGAGAGAACCTAGGGCCTTGTGCATGTGAGGCAAGCACTTTACCAACTGAGCTATATCCCCAGCCCCTCTTTAATTTTATTTTTTAGTCTGTTAGAGAATAGCTCTTACGAAGAGGTTAATGAGGGAGGAAAGGCCATGGCTCAGAGACACTGCGTGCCATGCCTCTTCCACCCCGAAGCTCAGAATGAGCTTGGCTGCAGATTCTGTGCATCATGTGGGGCCAGGCTTCCACTTCTGTCCTGCACTGCCTGCCCTCCCGCCCACCACTGAGACATGCAATCCAGATTACTAGTGACTATCCTCCTCTACTAATACATCTTCCACTGGGCTCTAAGATGGGAAGTTCAAAGGAAATCTGAAGTCTATTTTTTTCTTTCGCCCTTTCACTATATTGTGGTATCATATGCCCATCTTAAATATGAGGCAAAAGAAAAGACACCTTGAATTCCTTGGCACTAAATACAGTGTGGTGGGGCTTTTCTTACTTGTCTGTGATTCAGAGCTCATCGAGTGTTACAGGGAATCCCTTATAAATTCTGACATGTCCTCTGGATTCTTTGACTTTAGTTTCTCCACCTTCAAATACGTTTGATGCCATATCCTTTTACAAAGCCTTGTCTAGCTAGCCGTCATGGTCAACATTGGTGTATTTTTCAGAAATTGATGCTTCAGATGAATGCTAAGAACAAAGCAGAAGATGAAGATGAAGATGAGATAGTAGAGCTTGATGTGTCAGATGAGGAAATGGCTAGAAGGTAACTGTTACCTGGGAACAGCTTTACAAGCTGGGCCTTGTGTCATTGGCACCCTGTGTGCACTTCTCTTACCCTACAGTCTGCTGAAGCTTTAAAAAAAAAAAAAAACCCTAGAGCTGGGCACATTGGCGCGCACCTGTAATCCCAGCAGCTCGGGAGATTGAGGCAGGAGGATTGCAAGTTTTAAGCCAGCCTTAGCAAATTAGCAAGACCCTAAGCAACTTAGTAAGACCTTGTCTCAAAATATAAAATAAAATATAAAGGGCTGGGAATATGGCTCAGTGAGTAAGTTCCTCTGGGTTCAATCCCCAAAGAAAAATGAAAAAACAAAGCCCCCAGCAGGAAGACTTACAGTCTGCCTCCTCTCAACAGCCTCAGATGCCTTCGCCTATGGCAAGCTGACAATTGAAGTATCCTTTCCAGTGCTTCTTCCATGTATTCAAAAATGTTTACTTAGAGTAATGCAAAGCAAAACCAGGAAGTAATTTGGTCATTCTTTAAAAAGTTCATAAATTTTTAGATCAAACTGTTTCTTTTAATCATAGCTTCTACTTCTCCTATTATTTTTGTTGCCTTTGGTTTGATATTCTTGACAAGATTTGATTCCTACTTTATTTGAAATTAAATTGTGCTATATATCATTTTAACAGATATGAGACCTTGGTGGGGACAATTGGAAAAAAGTTTGCCAAGAAAAGAGATCGTGCCAATTACGAAGAAGATGAAAATGGAGACATAAAACCAGTTAAAGCAAAGAAGATGTTCTTAAAGCCCCAAGATTAAAAATGATGCCTTAAAATATGTCTCGGGGTGGCCATGAGAACAGCAGACTTTGGAGCCCATCCCAGTGGCATCTTTCAGCTATTAATACTTGATATTTATTTGTAAAGAGATGTGTAATTTTAGAAATAGACTGTGTTTGAAACAGATGTGTAATGGATGTTATACATCCTTTTCCGAATCAGGTTCATCAGAAGCGGAAGTTGAGCCTGAATCTTACAGATGTTCATAGGCACAGCATTGCTTCCTAAAGATTTTACCTCAGTTCTTTTTATATAGCTCTCCAGTGGCTGACCTTGAATGGACTCCTATAGATTAATGCCAGTGTTTAAATTGCCTTTAAGATTATATTTTACTTTAAATTATTAGTCATATAATCATGTCCAGCCGATTCATACATTCATTTTGGAGTCAAATGTCATAGGAATTTATTATATGTACATTCATCAAGAGCAAACATGCCTCTCCAACGTGAAGTATTTGCATGCTACCAGGTCTATCACTTTATGGTATTGTTTTTTGTTTAAGGCATTTAATTTTTTAAAATGTTCTGTAATAAATATCTGTTTCCACATGCTTTTTCTGTTTTCTTGGACTTCCAAATAATTTTAGTCTAGATAATGTAACTTATCTAAATAGTAATTTTTAATATCCACCATTATTTTAGAATATATTGATGTATTCAGTTGAACCATAAGAAGTTGCCTTATATGGGTCAAAAACAGTATTCTACTCTCTTATAGTACAGGCCTATAGAACTTACCACTCACCACCAGACCATCTCAGCCTGAACCTATTCTAAGTACCAGGTGTAGAAGCATATGGAATTAAGTGGATCTGTCTGGAGATAGGTACTGAGAGTTTTTTTTAATTACTGATATCATTTAATGTTTTTTCGCAACAAATAAGCAAGATACAGATCTCTCTCCCTGAATCTCCCATAGATTTTGGTGGTTCTGTGATCTCAGTTCTCTGGTAAATTATGACAAGTGAATTTGAAGAATCATGCTTTGTGTGTGTGTGTGTATGTGTGAAGGTGGGAACAGTGTGCTGCCAGTGTGCTCCATCCTAGAGCAGTGGTTGGAAGTCCCTCCCCATGCCCTGCCCGCACCACGGTCTACTGAATGTCTTGGGCACACTCTCCACCTTCACAGCGTTACTTCTAATGATGAGCCCATGCATGGCAACAGGTGATGCCTGGTTTACCAAGTCCTCTGTCACCAGGAGTAGCGGGTACACAGGGATGGTGGAAGGGCGCTGAAAACATTGGTAGCACTGGCTAGGGTATAGCACCCCATCTGACAAAATGGAATTTATGCTTTGAATTGGGGACCACTTACATGGGCTTGTGCCCAAGGGTCACACTAGGGTGTATTTAGCACTTCAATGTCCAGTAACAGAATTTTAATGGAAATAACAATAACCTCAAAGAAGAGTGTGACCTTTAGACCATTACATTTTAGGACACCCACCACATAGGAACCCTGAAAAGATGAGGGAGGTGAAACAGAATGTGTGGGTGTGAATAAGTTTACTAACTGCTGCCTGGGACCAACAGTTACAGAAACAAGTTACTGCCTCAGTTGCACACTGTGTGTGTGCTGATTTCCTCTCTTCCCCTTTATATAAGCTTGGATTCAATTTGCTGTTTAGTCTGTGACTACGTTTTAACTAACTGAGGAGATGAGTGTGACTCCCAGAAACTGATCTACTGGACATTCTTGTCTCATTTGGGAGAAAAGGTGAAGATCTCTTTTATAAAAGGATGTTTGCGATTTATTAAATAAAAATAAAGAGATGCTTCTCTTGCTGCAGGAAGATTAATTATGTTAAGCATTTTGTGTGCAGAGGCTGAATGGCCCACCATGGGCTCTAGCAGATAGTAAGCGATTGCTTCTCAGGTTCCAACTCACCCTCGATGCTGTCATCTTAGCTATCTGTGGGGTACTGGTTCCAGGGCTTCTGGTGGGTTCCAGAATCCAAGGATACTTGAGTCCTTGGCATAAAATGGTATAGTATTTGCATAGGACTTGCACATCGTCTCATGTGCTTTAAGTCATCCTTAGGTTACTTACAATACCAAATACAATTAAATGTTAAGTGACTAATAGTTACGCTGTATCATTTCTATGTGTTGTCCACATGTTCAGTACAGTAGCAAATATTTTTCCTGAATATGTTTGATCCACAGTTGTTTGAATTCATAGATGCAGAACCCACAAATAAAAGCAGACTGTACTCAGCATCTGGGATCTTCCAGTGGAGGCCCAGAAGGAGGTGGTAAAGCTAGAGGAAGAGGGAGGACTTGGTCCATCCTGTCTGCTTCCTTTTTCCTTCCTCCTCCTTCAACATGCTCAAAACTCCTTCACCCTGCAGAGGCCTGTGTGCTGGTGACAGTAATCAACACCAGTTTACAGTGTTACCAAGTCTGTGTCACCAGGAGCATCGGTGTTCCCAGCACTTGCTGGAGCAGCCCGTAGCTCCATCCAGGACCAGCACTGGCACCAACCAACCCCCAGTGTTCCCTCCTCACACATCTGTCGTTGCTGAGTCACAGGCTCCAGCTCAACTCCAAGGCACTGGTACTGATGAGCAAGGCACTGAGGAGCAGCAACTCATCAGACATCTGAATGGCAGCTGTCAGGCCCCCTCCAACTTCTACACTCAACAATTCCACCTCTCCCTTCGGGTGGCAGCTTCCTGCAGGACACCTTAGTGCCTCATTATCCATTCTTTGTATTGATTTCCTCTGTTAAAATAAGAACAGTGTTCCTCAATATGTATCCTAAAGAATCAAAGTCAGTATAATATACCTTTGCACACATGCCCAAGCTTGTCCAACCAAATTTTGGAGCCAGCTAGGTGTCCATCAGCAGAGGAATGGATGAAGAAAATGTAGTTATGTATACACAATGGAGTTTTATTCAGTTATGAAGAACAAAATTATGTCATTTGCAGGGAAATGGATGGAACTGGAGAGTATTTTGTTAAACAAATTAAGCCAGACTTAGAAAGTCAAGGGTCATATGTGGAAGCCAAAGAGGCTAACATAAGAGTGTGGGGGAGATCTCATGAAAATAGAAGGGATACCAGTAGGGTAAAGGAAGAGGATTGGGGGAAGGGAGGAGGGAAGGGGAGAGGAGGATATAAAGTTTATCAAATTATGTGCATGTACAAATATGCCATGGTGAAACCCACTGTTCTGCATAATTCTTATGCACCAACTATTTTTTTAAAAGGGTGTTGAAGGAGTTAAGGCAAAATACGGTAAGCCATAAAGATTATTTTGGGAGCCATGTCCTTTTCATGTCAAGGCTGGATAATAGCCTTGACCACCAGGGAGTGGTAATTCGGGCTGCAATGAACATGAACTGTCAAACCCTGAAGGAGCGCTTACCTTCCACTAGCTTCTACATTTCCCGCATGTCTCCTAGTGGCATGCCTGGCACTTAGGATCCTGGCACTTCCGATCCTAGTCCAGATCTTTACTGCCCTTCATTCCTGCATGCATTGATTGTTCTTTGCCTAAAAAGCATGTAAGCATCATGATCTGGCCATTCCTTCAGACTTCATTTTCTTGTGAAGATCTGACATACATGCAAAATGAAAACTCTTACACTCTTGTTAATCAGCCTTTGCAATAAATTCCAGTCATGGAACCCTACACAAGAACTACAAGAATTAGGGGATCTTTCTTTCCCTACAGTGTTTGGGATTTTTTTTTCCCCCTCCTGATTTGGTCTCAACCAATATACATTCATCCTAAAGTAATATTTTCATATCATGGGTTTGGTGGACTTAAAATGCTTATTTCTCTAGTTCACATTCAAGTTCCTTACTATGAAAGTAAAAATGTCCATTCAACTTCAACTTCCTGTTGATCAGACTGCCCAATCGTTCATTCTGTCTCCTTAGTTGTTAAGCTACTGTCCTCTAGAGGAGAGACTATATCTTACTCTTTGTTGTTTGCCCCAGGGCCTAACAAGGAATATGTTAAATCATCCCAACTGCTATTCATTCATTTATTCATTCAATAAAGAAACATTTATTGAATAAATAAATGAATGAATAGCAGTTGGGATGATTTGGAAGCCAATTAGCACACAAAGCCTATTTACATGACCATGCTGTGCAAACAAATGGAGACCAACCAAATGAGAAAAGCAAAGGCTATTTATTCTGAGCTTGCTGTAGGAAAGGAGCAAGCACCTCCACTTGCATTTGGTCAGAACCTCAAAAGCAGGCTGAGGAGCAAGAACAGTCAGGTGTGCCCTGGTTGGAGGCTGTTGGCCTGAGGAAGGTACAGGCTGGTGATTAGGAATGGGGACACCCTATTTGATTGATTAGAGATTCATATTTGGCTGTCTCTAAGTTGGTCCTAAATGGAAAGCAGGGGCAAAGATTAGGGAAACTGTCAGTTAAATCCTGGCCAAAGGCTTGTAGCACTTGTTTAGCTTCTAAGATTGCCACAGAGATAGCCACCTGGCTTCCTGCAGGTCTGACTTATGAGCAGAGTGGCTGCCTACGTTGTTGTAGATGAGGGCTTGCTTTCTTAAGCAAGTTGCTTGCAGGTTGTGGGTCAAAACTCCATTTGTACCTATGGTTTGTTCTTTATCCATTTGTAACCTCAGTCTCTCAATGCTCAGGTTTATTTCTATTCACAGTATAAAATACAATCATTTGATCATATCTTTATGGAAATCTGCACCCAACTTCATAGGAAGATGCCATTAGTGGATCAGAGATGCTTTCAGTTCCAGGAGGTGTCTGTTCTAAAGGCAGGTAGGTGATTGACACCACAGAGACGAGGCCATCAAATCGAGTGACTAAAACCCTTTGCCATCACAGATCTGGAGAAGAACACTGTATACTGTGAGGAACAAGTGCATGGAGTACTACATACATAGCACACATTAAGGGCGTCTGAGTAGCAGGCCACTCCCCTCGTGCTAGGAGCGTGAGTGGCAGGCCACTTACCCCGAAGCCACAGCCCTGGGTGTGAGGCCAGGTGTTGCAGTCCCTGCGTTTGCTCCATGGCCCATTCCTTGAGTGGTCACTGCAAGGACAGTTAGCAGAAATTGCATTGGTGGCTGCCTGTAATCTGCTTAGCTCCCGCCTGAGTATATATACATGGTAACTACGCAATAAAATCAGACCTGCTTCCTGCTTGGTCTCCGGAGGTCTTGATTAGTGACTCTGCAGCCACACTCTCCTCTACCCTGTTCCGTGGACCTCCTCGCTGGACTAGAGACAGTCCACGCAGCATACCACAGGCTAATGGATACAAAATTCAGTTTTGCAGCTAATCATGCTTCACTCACACTTCACAAACACCTTTGTGGATTAACCCTCCCAGAGTGGAATATTTGGAGAGGGAGAGAAGATGTAGTCATAATGGCACTATCAAGAAAATTCCCCGGAGAACTTGTGCCATGAGCCATGGGTTGCATGTGGGTCACCGAGCATGGAAGCCTCATGGATAGGGACATCTGGTGTCTGGGAATGGCCAGTGGACATTTCCTCTGGTCAATGCCCAGGGACAATGTGAATCTCTTCCCGCTCTGCCAGGACCCACA